CGGAGAAGAATTTGAGATGCAAAAGGGTGAATTTTCAGTGGCAAAACCTATGTAAAAAGATGAACTTAACCGTATTGGCTTCCGGGTGACTCGTATGCGAAAGAAATCATGGGACAAGGGGTTAAGCTGCTCCGCGGCGGCACTTCCGGGTGAGCGGGATCTGGGTCATGGAACACCGAGTGTCCCCGGTGTCCCGGAAGCCGGGGAACCCGCGTCGATCGACTACTGACGCTGACACTTCCGTCGATTCCCTGGCCCCGACCCGTATCATGGCCGGCGATACGCGGCACCGGCGGCGGCTGCCGCCCCTCCTTCTGCGCCTGACAATTTTGATCGACGAAGGGAAGAATTGTCGATTTCCAGAATCGCTGCCGTCGACGATCGTAATTGTTTCCCTCGGAACGGGTTCGCCACGGGGACGTGAAAGGGCAGATTTTAACCCTTAGCAGTCCTATGTCGAGTCAGACTCGACATTCGATTTTTTCTATATTTATTTGTAGTATCACGATTGTACCATTTAATGGTAACATTTCAATGACTCCCAGATATTCTTGAATAAATAAATAGAGCGTCGTATTAAGCTGTAATTGAATGAACCGACGTCGACGTGAACCTCAAAGTTAGAAACCAAGAACACTTCGGACCGCAAAGGGTTAATGAATGTTTTAGGGGATGATTGAGTAAGTATGTTTGTGATTTCTTGGTGTGTTGATTCAGCCACGAAATATCAACTGTAATCTTCAATTTTCAGTAATGTATAATTAAATCTAAGGTGATTGTGATGTGTGCCATTTAATAGAGGCACTAACTGGCAAATAACTGCAATTTTTTTTCGATAATGATTACACGAATTCTTCGAGTTTTTGGACTAGTTTCCATGTTTTCCAAGGTTCATCGCAGTTTTTTTGTATATATATTTGCTGAGAATACTTGTTATGCATGGATGACGATAGAAGTTTGCAAATTTAGTGAATTAAGTGTTAAAATGAAGGAGACATTCGGTTGTTCTTTACTATAAGTCATAATCGGGAGCAACAAACTGTACGTTGAAGCTTGAATCCAATGCTGGCACGAGCGTTGACTTTGAAACGTACACAAGATGCATCCGTGCAGTCAACATTTGGTTTCAGTGCTCTTGTCAGCTGTCTACTCGCCAAAATATTAGAACCAGCGATCAAACGCGTTGATCCGGCTTCCCCGTGACATTCTAGGCAAACGGGACTCTTGCGCGGGAAACAATAGACACTAAGCTACGGACGTTCACGTAGATCTACATTTTTCCACGGAAGCATTGGTAAATCGTATAAATCAAACTCTGATTTAAATGACAGAACCTCCCTTAAGTCGATGGCTTGACGCAAAGCATATTAACTCTAGAACAACCGATAAAAGCTCTAAGCGTGAATATATTAAGATTTCAATTTTGGTATCGCCAAATCAGCTTCTTCGATCATTCCTCAAAGAAGCATCGGCACCATTACGATCATTCTAAAAGAAAAAACTAAGAATTGATCACTTCAACCCACCCGGCAGTCCTACCCAAGATGAAAACCGCCAAAAACCCACAGCCCAACAGTCCATCGATCAATGTAGAACTTAGCAAACTTATAAACCGCCCTACATATCCTAACACAGTAAACCCTCGTCACCAACGTGTCACAGATAGCAGGCTACCTAACAGACCCGAACTCCCAAACAACACGGGGAAATCGAGCGAGCAGTACAGAGCAGTCCAGCATCGGCAAACATTGAACCCAGAAGAAGCGAAACGCGGCCAATGACTTCCAGGACATCAGCCGCGGACAAACGAAATCCGGAAATCGCTGTGAATCCTATAGCAACTCCTACGAGCGACTCTATGCGACCAGCAATGCCGATACCGTTGGAAGGTGTATCCATTTTAGAATACCAGGACGAAGGACAATGATCCTGTCAACGAGGCCGGTGTACAGAGGATTCGGGGCCAGCGTCGGGCTAGCCTGATTCATTCTCGGACGAGATAACGGGGCGAGGAGAGGCGGCGATCGGCGCGGGAGAAATTCCATCGACGCGGCCGGACGCTCGGGCTGGGCCCGGAAGCTCGTAAACCACACGGCACAC